TCTTTTTTGTCGCTGGATTTTTTTTGGACTTTCAGCTTGGTAAATATCTGAAATTTGATTATTAAAATTCAAACCGTCAACATTTACTGTATATGTGTGCATTCTGGCCATCAAGATATAGCCCAATGGTTTTTGTAATTGATGACAAGGTTCGCTCAAAATTTATAATTCAAAGTTTTCTAAATATTTCCTTCGTATCATATTCTCAATCTTCTTTCAGTAACTGATAAAACATCACATCCTTCATACTTACTTCTATACGGGGTCCAATAATCGTGTAGTTTTCCGCCAAAATTAAAATATCCGAAATTAATATTCAATTAATAAATTAAAATAATTTATTCACTGATTCTATTCAACAAAAATGATTTCTATGCTTCAATTGTTGACTATCATGATAAATAAATAAATAAATGTTTTAAATTTCGGATATTTTAATTTTGGCGGATGTCGAATATTCTCACGGGAATTCAAATTGGCAGATGAATTTTGGCGGAAAACTACACGATTATCGGGATACACGCACAAAGTATGGAATTGATACTAATTGGATTAGATCTGTTTTCGCCAATTTTAGCATGTTTTCTTTTATTGTTTATTGAAATAATGGAAAACTTTTGTCATTACAAAACAAATGTCTTTGTGTTGCTTGATGCAACATGAGCGTATTGTTGATTTGCATATTGTTGGTAATATTTTATTCAACATCATTATTAAACTTGTCAATTTTTTGTAGTTGCACAGTAGTTTATCAAAGTAAAAATTTTTTTTTTTTATTATGCTTTTATATGAAACGGTAAACAGGTAATACAGAAATTCCACGTTTTCAAACAAAAAGGTTACACTAATTTACCTTTCTTCTGTTTGCTTTTACAAAACATACAAAATATTCATTCATAAACAGTAAATGTAAAATTTTTTATTAATCGACTTTATTAAAATTTTTAACAATTAATTTTTTTTTGTTGGGAATGCAACAAGAGATTGAGGCTTTTGATTGCTGCCAACCTTTTAATTTTATTCTTTTTTTTTTCTGTAATTTCAACATTGGATAGACTTTAAGATATTCATCCATCCGTTGTTTTCAAATATAACAAAATAATAATAATATGACTTCTGTAATTAATCCTAACATCGAGACTAATAATTTTGAGGTGGACAACTTGATTGATACTCAACAAGAGAGGGTAGAAAATATTAGCCTCGAATATAAATATGATAGTGACAAGAATGGTTTAAAAGAAGAACATGTAAATCATGTTGAAAAGAGAGAAATAATTATAAAAGATTTCTCTGATGAAAATATTAATAACAACAATTTGGGTATAAATCATAAAGATAATGATGATAGGGTCAATGATAAAGGTGATCTAAAAGTAGAAGATGTAAAGGTTGTTGAAATAATTAACAATGGGGTTACAATTGGTGATAATCATAATGGAGATTATTTAAAGGGAGAAACAATTAATGGTGATATAATTAATGAAAACAATAATAATTATGATAATTATAATAATGAAAAAAATAAAAAAGATGAAGATGATATAATAACAGAAGTGGCAGATAATTTAAAGTATCTTGACAAAGTAGATACCATTAAAGAATCATCAACACTGTCATCAGAACAAAATATTGGAAAATCAAACAAATTGGTTCAAGGCACCCAAAATCCACAAGTTAATACTCGTGATAGGCAGGGATCGCTTACTAGCATTTTTTCATCTAGTTCATCAGATGATAAGATGGATTTTGAATCGAGGACTTCAAAATCCAGTTTTTCATCCATATCAATCAATCAACAAACAGATATATCCACGGATAACGATGTTGATTCTTTTGTACACATAGGAACTTATGCAATTAAACAAATGCCAGTTGCATCTCTTGCTGAAAATCCAGAGTTAAATGATGAGTCTTTGGATGATGAAAATTATATTCAAGAATCATCTAGAGAATGGGGTTCACAGGAGTGGAATTCATTAAAAAATTTTTCATCACTATTCAGCTCAATATCAAGCACTTCCTCCGCACTAACTCCATCAACCACTAGTTCTCGTCGTTTGTCCTCAGCATCTAATTATGATTTGTTGTATGCTAAACTTGAAAGAGAAGATCAGATCTTGCAAGAAGATCCCAAAGCAAGACGAATCTCAATACAAGGAATTGCAGAAATAAAACGTAGTTTTGAAAAGGCACATAACGAAGCTAATGTAAATGTACAAGATGATGATATTGATTGGGGTAATTATAAAGACATATGTATGTGCATGTGTGCATGTCAATGCACTATTTCTTTTTATTGTTTACGTTTATTTATATTTATATTTATATATAAAGAATTCTGGGGACAAATTATATCCGACTATGAAAATGTCGCAAGAACACAATCACGACAATTATCTAAATCACTACAAAAAGGAATCCCACAAGCATTACGGGGTATGATATGGCAATTAATGTCAAAGTCTAAAGATGTTGAGTTAGAATCCAAATATGCTCAATTGCTCAAGGAATCAAGCCCTCATGAAAAAATGATCGTAAGAGATTTAAACAGAACCTTTCCAAAACATGAATTTTTTCAGGATCAGAATGGTGTGGGTCAAGAAGGTTTATTTCACGTTGTTAAAGCATATTCAATTTATGATCCTGAAGTTGGATATTGCCAAGGCATTTCATTTGTTGTTGGACCTTTACTTTTAAATGTATTTGCAATTTTAGTTTTAATTCCAATTTTATTAATTAGAAAAGAATATAATACATGAATTATTAATTTGTTATAACAACTAGATGCCAGATGAAGAGGCCTTTTGTGTTCTTGTTAAATTAATGAAACATTACAATATGCGAGGTCACTTTTTACCAGGAATGGATGGGCTTCAACTTCGCCTTTTCCAGTTTGATCATCTGGTTGAAGAAATGCTTCCTAAAATCCATAGTCATCTTTTGGAACAAGGAATAAACTCATCAATGTATGCATCACAATGGTTTATGACACTTTTTGCATACAAATTTCCATTACCATTGGTGTTTCGAATATATGATACAATTTTCACAGAGGGAATTGAGGCTATTTTTCGATTCAGCATTGCACTATTGAAAAAAAATGAAAAAAGAATTATTGAATTAGATTTTGAACCTCTTTTGGAATTTTTGAAAAGTGGATTATTTGAAAGTTATCAGGTTTATATACAATTTCAATTTCTTATGATAATTCTAGTCATGATAACGCTCATTATATTCGTCATATTATATTTTGCAGGTTACTCCTACTGATGTATTGATAACTGAAGCACAATATAGAACTAATGAATTTGTTAAAGATGCATATGATATTCGAATCACAGTCAAGACACTTAATAAACATCAACAAGCATATTACGCGCGTCAGGAAAATGAGAAAAGAAGATTAATAGCAGAGGCAGGAACAGCTGAGAGAATGCGAGCCAACAATATTCATTTATCCAATAAAATCAAAAGTCTTGAAAGCAGTCTGCAAACACTTGATCGTGAACATGTTGAACTAGCCAATAATTTCATCAGTACTAAGATGGAACTTGCACAATGCAAAGATGAAAATGAAGATCTTTCTCAGATGGTTATAAACCTACGTAGAGGTTTGGAAACTCAGTCCAAAGAGATTGAAAGTAAATTACAAGGTCAAATGGATGATTTAATTAAAAGTAATATTGATTTGATAGAAAAGAATAATTTATTGGAAGATCAACTTGAAAATTTAGAAAACATGTTAATAGAAATTAAGGTAAGGTATGCAGAGAGCGAAAATGAAAGAGAAACATTGAAACAAAAATGGAGTGATTTGAAAAGAGCCCTGAGATAAAAATAATATTAGATTTATTATTTATTTAGTATATGTATATATTTATATATATATTTTTCAATTTAATAATTTTTGATATAATGAATGATAAATTGTTGTATATAATGATGGCCTTTTTCATTCAATCCAAAAAAGAGTTTCTTTATTTATTTTATTCACATTTTTGTACTTTTAATAATATCTCCCTCCCCTAAATAAATTCATGGATTTTATATAAACATCATTTTATGAGTTCTCCGTTTTGCGCAAAGTTAAATGTTAAAGATTTGTTATTTCAAATTATTATTTATATTCTTTAATAAATCAACATATCATAAGATGCAAATTAGAAATATTATTAATTAAAATAACGAAATAGCAAAACATAACAATAAATATCAATTTCGTCAGACAAAAAAAAATAATATTACACATGTATCTATATTGTATTTTTATGAACTGGTTTTTGATGCAAAGTAAGGATAATAAGTTGTGTTATTAGTTAATGATTTGTAGGACAAGGCTAGTCAACAGTTGATTTAACTTGCCTGTAAAAAACCAAACTTTTAGCTTCTATATAGAGTTATCCAGGTCTTCACACAGTCCTTGGTAAATTGTTAACACAATGCTTGTTGGTAAAGTATCCTGTCGGTAAAAGTGTCCTGCCAGTAAAGTGTCTTGTCGGTAAAGTATCCTGCCGGTAAAGTGGTTGTCAGTAAGTGAACGGGACCCAATAAAACTTATCTCACGTTATTATCAACATTTCTAAACCACTTTCCACTTTATTATTAAGTTCCTCAATCAGGGAAAATACATTGGTGGAGTTACCTTGCCCTGCTAACAAATGAATTTAATATTATTGCATAAGAATAAATATATGGTATTATTGTGGAAGAGAAATCAAGCCAAAACACATTCACTTGCATTGACTAATTTTCTTACAACTCACTTACCAGAGGGCTGATTGACAATAATATGAATAGAAGAATCTGCGATGTTCTCAGTAAATACATTATGAATTTTTCTAGTAGGGATTGATAATTTTAATTTATCTTGTATGTCTTTGAGGAAAATGTCAACCTCCATGGAAATTTATTATTATGTAAATCACAAAATTTTCTTATTAACCCGAAATCAACCCGAACACGACCCATTAGGAGCTTTAAATTCAGCAATGTTATTTTCAAGGCTTTTCTTTTTGTAATTTCAATTTTGTTATTACTAAATTATCAATTATATCATCTCTATATTCATCTGTTATTGGACATTTATTCTTAATCAACTCTACTAGCATTTCTTCCGGTTCTTTTTTAATTGTATTAATTCTTGATTATTTTCAGGTGCTGGAATTTTTTTTACTATCATAATATATTATTTTGATACATTCATGAAAAGTTTTATGTTGGTTTTGGACAGGTAATGTCTTTAATTTCATCCTTTACCAATGACAGATAATGTTATAAAGGTATTCTTGCCTCTTATAATCCAGGGAAGGAGGTGTTAAAACTAAAATAAATAAAGCATTAATTTTTTAAAAATATCTGCTTTCCTAGTTTTCAATAAATTGAATTCAGCAAAAGGTTCATTAGCAACCTCCTGAATTTTGACCACACCAGGATTATATGCTTCAAAAGAAAATGCGGGACTTGAGAGAAAAGTGCCCAAGTTATTCTTATTGCCAAATTTAGATATGATGGTCGTGAACTAGTCTACATTTAGTAATAATTTTGTCTAAATTTAGTAATGACCTGGTAGCCGAAATACACGTACTAAAAAAGAATAGAACTCTACAGCAAATAATTTTTTTGAGAAAATCTCATTATTGCATTAAAATTAAAGCCTATTCTATCAACTAATGATGCTATTTTTTTAAAGGTAGGACAGAAAGTGACTTTTATACTTTTAACATTTATGCAAAATTTAGGAGGTCTTTAGACCAAGTCAACTATATGTGGTCAACTATTTTTGTGTTTATTATAATTTGTAACACCCCAACCATCCATATGAAAATTTATATGATGTGGGACACTCATCTATGCTGATAATTAACCTAAGTTAAGTAGTAAACTATTTCTCTTCCAATTTTCTTTTCTTACTAGGTTCTTCATGGCTTTGCATTAATGTTCTTTTATTGGTTATGGTTTTTCTTTCTTCTGATAAATTCATAGGTAATCCTTCTTTTCTTAGATAAGCTCAAGTGTCTGAGCATCAAAATATAGGGAGCAGTTTTCTCACCTTGTTCCTTTTTCAAAATGCTTTTGGTGATGCTGTAATTCTTGGGTTCCATAGTAGATTCGATGTAAATTAGTTTCATATTAATTGTTTTTATATAGAAGTAGTTCAATATACCATTAAAGAAAAAACAAAGATAACAGATGGGACATTATAAAATTATTAATAGTAATAATATGATGATGATGTTGAACCCTGAAATTCTTGATAGTAGAAATGTTCACTTTGTTGCAACATGCCATATAAGATTGCAAAAATGGTTTGAACATAAAAATTTTGAAAAGCAGGAAATTATAAAAAAATAATGATAATAAATCAAAACATTGTATTGCTTTATAACAAATTAATTAATATTACTAAAATCAATTGCATAGTTCAAGATTACTTGGTAATATATTCATTACATCATCCCTCCCATACCACCCATACCTCCCATTCCACCCATTCCACCTACCCCAGCATTTTTGTTCTCATCTAGTAAATAAATTAATTTATATCAATAATA